TCACAATTTATGGTCTTTTCGAAAAATCTGAAATTTAACTTTGCAATATAGTGATCTAAAAAATCTATGTTGCGGTCGCGATGTATGTTTTTATTCCGGGTAAACCATCTTGCTTTTGTTATTTTCCTGAGGATTTTATTCTGGCATATTTTGAGTTTCTATTTTAAACGTGACTGAGAGGAATTTGTCATATACATTTGAGAATTGAATCTGTAGTGGTAGACAAGTAAATAAGACAAACTAATCATATAAAAAAATTAAACAAATTTTTAGACATATATTTGCTACCACTTTTTTATTTTTACTAGATTTTATATTAAAGGGCTCTTTCGTAAATTGGTTTGTCTTTATAGTGGTCTGATTGGACTACCTATAAAAAACCGTGTGGAGGTTATCTCGATTTCAAGCGGAGATATGTTTTTCCTCTTACTCCCCCGCGCTGAAATGAACTCTCCGTCCGAGGAGGTGGAGCCAAGTGCCAACTCCTGGTGAGAGAACTATATCCATGTTCAGGAAGATCTTATTTTAATATTGAAAGTGAACAATAAACAGTGAACAGTCGGAAAAAAACATGTTTATTCAATTTACACCGCTTACTATTTTGAGATACAAGACTAGAAAGTTAAATATTATAAACACCAACAATTATCCATGTTCTGGAAGATCTTATTTTAATATTGAAAGTGATGTCAAAACTTCATTTTTTTAATTTAATGCTGATTAATGAACTTAATTTAAAATAATTTTGATATCCATTATATAATATGAATGAATTATGTGTAGAAACGTGCGAAATAAACTCAGGCAAAATATAAAAGTAGTTTGTCTGCAATTGATTTATTCAATTCTCATTTATTACCTTTACAGGGATGCCACGGGCGACTAAAAATGTAAAAAGTGGTTAAAACTCAATTCACTTTTATTTATTTATGATAACTTAAACTATTCAATCGTAGTTAAGACTTTGATTTACATATCAAATTATTCATATATGGAAAAACATTCCTTACATATCGTTTTCAATAGCAAATTAAAAATAATATGCTTGAAAACGTGGTTTATTTTAACCAGGTAAAATAAAATTTTAAGTTTTATTAATCACCACTTTTTGTATTTTTAGTCGCTTGTGGCAACCACGCCATTTGCTTAAATCATTATTAGAATGAACTAAAGCTGTCAAGTATGCAATATATGCGTATTGTTTTCCTATTTTGTCTGATTTGTGGTAAATTCTGTTTCGGGAGGGCTAACCTAAAAAGTACCTTTTATGCAAAGTGTGTACAGGGTATTACTATAGGCCAGATTTTTTGTACTAAAAAATAATAAAAAGGCAAAATAATTTTTAATTATTGTTTGTTATACAAAAAGTTCCCAATAACTGAAGCTATTTTAACTCGATAACTTAACATCAAGCATGTGGCTGGGATTGCCAGGTTGATAGGGTGTAAACCCATGTCCAGAAGGTCGTGAGTTTGATCCCCGCCGGCTGAAGAATCTTCGTGTAGTAAATGATGTCTGGTGTATCTGAAGTCGTATTCTTGGCTGTAGATGGCGCCACTGAAAAACGAGAATCGCACCCTCTTCCCTATATACTCTTGGTTTTACCAAACACGCTTGCTGATATTGGCAAGTTGCTTGAGAAACAACAAAAACAACTTGAATCGTTATCTAATTAAGCTAAACTAACTGGATGTTTAAACAGGAATTCATTCAATGTTTTGAAAGCTAATTATTATGCTTTTAAATAGGATAGAAATGAGAAATTGTGTTCATGTTCTTCAATGTTTATGAAACCTTATTATTACTTTTGAACTTATTTATACAGTGATCAAGGTTTTTATTAATCAAATTGGCTCGCAATGACTCCTTTTGATATATATTTTGCATTTCTAAAACATCTAAGTATATTCTTAAATTACAATTAAAATCTTAATTTCATCAATTATAATTACTCCATTTTAAATTATACTTCATTTATGAGAAATAACCGACTTTATTAAAATGAAAGATTTTATGTAGTTAAAAAATTATGAAATTTCCCCAAATCAAAATTTATAATATTACTTTCAGAACATAAGAAACTTATACGCATATTTTAATCATCGGTTTGAAATTAATTAGTACAGTGAAGCCTGAAAAGTTGAACTTTATTATCAGTAACCGAATTTATAATGTATATAATAAAGGATAGCAAATCCTTTGTAACCTTTAATTTGTGTTGATCATATAAATAAGACAAATTTGTCTGAAAATGTTATGAAATGCTATTCTAAATCCTTCATAAATTGATCGAAAAATATATAGGTTTGTAAGTAATATAACAAAATCAATTTTGAAATGTTAAGAATTATTTTACATTTTCAAATTCTATCTATTTTCTTGTAATGTTTTAAGAAACTAAATCAGTGGCACATATATCTAACAAAATGTACATATTTATTTTTCTTTAACAAATCAGCTTAATATTGAATTTCCTAACAAGTTATGATTTATTTTGATAATTAATCTCAATTGCTATTGATAAGTATTTGATAAATAAAATTTAAGTAATTCTAAAAAAAATTGTTGTATTCATATCTTTATTTCAATTGGTTCTTTTAAGGATGTGTATTAACAAAACTAATAGTGTCGAATTTAAGAATAAGATGATATAAGAAATGTTAAAAAAAATAATAATGACTCATTCCTATTAATCAGGTGAGCACCACTTTTAGTTGATTGCAAAAGCAATGCACAACAAGTGGTCAACTTGCATTGGTTTCATTTAGTGTTTTAAGATAGCACTGAAATAGAATTAAGTTTTAAGGGTAAATTTTAACAATATTAATACCCATATAGGAAAATAAGGTTTATTTTCACTCAGCAAAAACCTTTTAATGTAAACCTTAAAAGGTTTTATATGCGGTTTACGTGTAAACCTTCTAATCTTAAAACGAGACCTGTGACAATCTGCTCTATTCTACCAACGCCTCCTATAACTGAAAGCCTCCACACGGTTTTTTGTAAGTAGTCCGATCGAGCCTTAGTCCGATCAGACCATTGCAGAGATGCCAACTTGCTCCGGACAGCAAATATGTATTTTAAAATGGTAGTTTATCAATTGTGATTCTTGGTTTAATAAATTCAATTTAGTAGATTTTTAATCACCACTATTTCTAAATAATTCGTAGGCTTTTAGAATTCACTAAGGCTTCTATACTATCAGAGCTGACCTATCAAGCAATATTGGAGCAAACAAGTTCGCAAGTTAACGTTATTTTAGTATTCGTTATGTTTTTACAGAGATGCGGACACGCCAAAATAATTTAAAAAACGGTAAATAACTACAAAGTAAATTTTGCAAAGAGTTGCCAATGTTTGGTTGCTTTTAAAAATGTAAAGCATGTAATAAGTAATATTAAGTGGTGAATTATATAAGCCTACGCATTGTTCAGAAATAGTGGTGGATTAAAATCTACTAAATCGAACTTATTAAACCAAGAATTACAATTAATAAACTACCACTTGAAAATATTTATTCGCTGTGCTTATGTCAGCTCTTTGCTCCAACAATAAATGATAAGTCGGCCTGTCTAATTCAGGGGCTCTAGAATTCACCACCTTCTAGTACTTTCGTCATGCTGCACCATTTAAAAAGCAAGCAAAAATAGTCAAACATTTGCAAAATTTACTTTGTAGTTATCTACCGTTTAATTATTATCTACCGTTTTAATTATTTTGGCGTGTCCGGAGCAATTGGCATCTCTGCCATTGTGATGGTGAACCAGTTAGCAGGGTTGCCAGACTCTGAAAATAAAAAATACTACGACTTCATCCGAAAAAATACTACAAAATACTACATATCTTAAGCGCTATCTACAAGACTTTTTTGAAAGCTTATGCAGACGAAAACTGAGACAGACGATTATTATTATTATAATTATTTATATCGTCTGGCTAATGTTTTTTAGAATTATATTTAAATTTATTTTAGTTGAGGATAAAATAATATTATAATTGAAAAACAATTATCCTTTAACAATTATCTTAAAACAATTATTATCCTTTTGTGCAATTATACTTCAGATATACGTGTAGTAACTAATATTTTTATCAGCAACTTTGTCTTTTGAAGAATAAACAAAGAGTTGTGTGTATCATAATAATGTCTCTTGTGTATCNATTTGCAAATATCGACAGATTTTGCTAGTTTATATAAGGTTTAGCGTAACATATCAGAATAAAGTGGTGAATTATATATGCCTACGAATTGTTTAAAAATAGTGGTGGGTAAAAATCTACTAAATTGAATTTATTAAACCAAGAATCACAATAATTAAGAAAATTTTGAATAAATTTTCTGCAATTCCATAAAAGAGTGTAAATTTTATAGTTCTATGTCATGTTATACGCTGTCAGCCACCTGTTTTTCGCAGTCTATGTGAAAGGTTAGTGTCAGCAAGCGGTGCAGCCTAAATGTAATTTCAGCGTCAGCCACCGGTAGTTGACGCAGCCTAAATGTAATTTCATTGTCAGCCACCGGTAGTTGACGCAGCCTAAATATAATTTCAGTGTCAGCCACCGGTGGTTGTCGCGGCCTAGATGGAAAGTCCAGTGTCAGCCACACTGATGGCTGACGCTGCGCTCAACGTGTTAAAGCTATACAACAATAAGTATAGCGATACTATTATATTAATAATTACTAGGATTATTTGCATAGGATATTAAAAATTTTATACAAACGCAGTTTTTTAATATAAAATAGAGCTTTATGTAAACAGACGTATGAAACTTCAGATTTTTAAATACGTATGCAATTTTGTACTGTTAAACCATTTAAAAAAATTCTATTTGTTTCAAAATTTTTGTTTTTGTCCATTATTGATGCAAAAAACATTGCTCACAAACCTCAAATGTTGAGTAAACTTTAAACTAAGAGCAGAAATATTTTAAATAGCAAATTAAAAAAATTGTTTCATAAATTTGGAATTTAAAAGTGTTTTTTTCTCTATATATTTTAAGTTGCATTACAAAATATAACTTATAATGACTAACTGTTTATGTTTCTTTCTGTTTCAGGTTCTGGGTCTGATATGTCTCTCTCTGATAGCTCATTACTGTCAATTTTTTCATCCTCTCACAGGAAAATCACTGGGAGTTCTATGTAGTAAAAGTGATGCGTTTTTCCTTCTTGTTACATACGGGTTCTTTTTCACCTCCCTCGTCATCCTCATCTGCAGCACTGTATCTTATTTCACGGCATCATTTTTACCAAAAACTACCTTTGTAAGTATTTATGCATAATGAAGGCAGTATTAATACATTTCTTCTAAAATTGACATTCTTACACCTAAATGTTTTGGAATTTTTACAAAACTTTGAATAGAAACATTGTATTTCCTATTTGGAGATCGAAGTGTTTTTCTCCTAAAATACTTTCCACAAGAATATTAAATGAGTCTTATCATTATATTGTTTCAAACTCTTCAATGTTTTACTTATTACTGATTTCATGATTATTTCATTAATCGCCAATATTTCCTGTAGATAAACACTAGCCTACTGGTTCGCTTATATGAACTCATCGCTTCACTGTTCCCACATTCTCCTTGTCACCACATTGTCCTTCACTTGCATGAATTTAAGCCTACATAACTTCATGACTTTCTGTTCTGCTTTTGGCAGCATTGCTTTGATTCCACGGCATTAGTATTATAGTGCGATTGGGTAAAAGGGCGGTCGGTTTGTCCGACTAACAAACGCACCGCTTCGAGGTTTTCCACCTGTTTTGTTTGTTTTCCACCTGCACGAATTAACCTCTTCGCGGTTTATTAACAGGAATCGGTTACACAGCACACCAAACTCTTGGTGGTAATTTGAGAGGGAATGAGTTATTTAGCATTATTATCTATTGGCGTAATTGCTACGATAGTTGCCAAATGCTTACGTAGTTTTCCACACAATGGTTTCAAACTAACCGTGGTTAGCTTTACTCTCAATTGACCTAATTTGCTACGATAATTGTCAAATACTGAAAATTTTTTTTTAAACATATCCTTGTAATTTGTTAAAGATCAAGTTTGAGAATTCTAATTTGCATTCATTCAAGTTCATAATATTGATTGAAGATTCAGACTTCTAATTTGGTTGGAAATTGTTATTTAACTATGCAGTTAATTAGGATGATTACTCAAATACTTACATTAATCACGAAGAAACTTTTTTTTTCTTTCCTTTCCTTTTATCTGATATAGAACACTTGATCGAAATTTGAGACTTCTATTTTTCGGCAAACTTTTATTTCCAGACTTTCAATCGGAGTGATTACCCAGATAATTACAAAATATCGAATTGAAACTTATTAGTTTTTTTTATTTATCTTATAAAAAACAGATGGCTCAAATTTGAGACTTGTATCTAGGTAAAAACGTGTTATTTAGTATTATTGACAATTAGGCTAATTATCCCGATAAATACGAAATATCGAAAAGAATTTTTTTTAGCTATTCATCCAACTTTTTCCGGAGTGAGTGAATTAGTGATAAGACATTAAATAAAGCAACAATCCTTTAGGTTTTATCCGCGGCTACAGTGTTTACGTAATTACACACTGTACCAGGTTTTTTTGCGGACTTTCTTTTTTGTTGTTGTTGATGTACAGTATGTCAACGAAATGCCAGTTGATAAATAGTTTTCATATTTTTTTCGAAGGGTAAAAGTTATAATAATAAGTAATGTTATAAAAATAATAAAATAATAAATAATTTGCTAATATTTCCAAAATTTTCTAACAGGAATTTTATTGCTTTCTACTCTAAACAATGAACACTCGCTGCGTTGACGAAAACAATGTTGATTTATTATAACTTTTTTTCGATATTTTCTATAGAGTAAAAGTACTACTGTACTTTTAAAGCAGCACTAGTTACTAGTAATAACACTAGTACGTTTAAAGCAGCACTTTTACAATACACCTGAATAATTTTCGAAACGCTAGCGTGTTTTCACTTTATTACATAGGAAGAAGAACTAAATCAACTTTGAGCTCGATCTAAAAGAAATAGGATACGTTATGTTTCCTGTACATATAGTCCAACAACTCTTAAGGGTATATTTTTTGCAGGAAGAAATAAAAAATTTGTGAAAAACACTATGTAATCAGAAAGCAATATCCGAAAATTAGTAAGTATCACAAAATAAAAATAAGTATCACAAATGAAGATAAACAAATCAACAAAAATAAATGTAAAGTAACTTATGGAAATAAATGAATTCACACTTGAATATAAATTCATGAAAACACATGAAAATTAAAAAAATTAAATCTTGAAAAATATGAAATATTACAGGAAAATAAGTTAATGAACGCATGAAAAAACTGAGTCTAAATCATGTTGTGAGTTTAAATCTTCAAGCAGGTTTCTCAAAGCAGGTTCTAATATGATATTTTACAAAATTGAAACGAATATATTTTAAACGAATGTGATTGAATAAAACTGAATCAAAATCTTCTTATTGTGATTCAAAAATGCAGTTGTATATAATTATTATAATAAATCATATTACAAAACATGATTGGTCAAGTAGTTTAGTTTCCGCTTTTTTTTGTTTTATTTTTTTATAATTTTTAAACATTTTGCAAGTCATTAAATCGTTTTGTATAATGTTTTATATCCTTCAAAAGAGAGTATTTTGTTCCATCGAATTTACGTTTTTTTTTGTTTGAGTTAATTTAGGATAATTTTCAGATAATTAAAATAGACTGTCAAATTAAGAAAGAGGTGCATTTTCGATAACCTCTACTTTTTACTTTTAATCAAGATTCTACGATCTAAAAGTTGTTTGTGATATTTGTGCTGTGTATGCAGAGAGTGCCATAGCTGAAAGAATCACTCTGGTATAGATTGGTATACCAAAGATTGGTATACCAAATTTAAATATGAAAATTTGGATCTAAAAATGTTACTGGTTTTGGCCGCCTAGCCGAGTTCGATGAAGAGCGATTAAACTAAATTTTGCTCGAAAAATTGAGTTGAATTACTCAGGAATTGAAAGAGAAATTTGAACTTTAAAAATTTTAAGAAAAAACAAAGAAAAAGAAATAAAAAAAAACAATGGGAGTTGCTGACCACATTGCCGTAATTTGTTTTTGAATTTTTGAAAAAAATATTTTCATCATTTTAAATTTCATAGTTTTCTCTCGGTTTGATTTGAACTTACTTTATATTTTTAAAATACTTACGCACGTGGAAGCCAGATTTCTATGAAGGATTATAACTTCCTCTTCAATCATGGATTAAGCGAAAATTCGATTAAACATTAGTCAATACAGAACTTATAGTATGCTCTCTACTATCTGTTTTAAAAATGCGAGTGAAGTATACCAACGCCTCCATAACTGAGAGCCCCCACACTGTTTCGTATAGGTAGTCCGATCAGACCTCCACAAAGGTAAACCAGCCATCGAAAGAGTCACTTAATACAAAATTTAGTAAAAATAAGTAAGTGGTAGCAAATATATGTCAAAAAATTCGTTTAATTTATGAATATGATTGGTTTGTCTTATTCACTAGTCACAACCACTACAGATTCAATTCACGAATATGCATGATAAATTTCTCTTAATTACTTTTAAAACAGAATTTGGCTCCATGCGCACAACTGGTTCACTTTTTAAATAGTCTGCACAGATAACTTATAAAAACCCGTGTGGAGGCTTTCTGATGTTGAGGGTGATGAGTATACCCTATCACTACCATGATTTCTGATTTGTATTGTTTTATTTCTTTTAGGAATTTGCTTATCATCTTCTAGCCTGTTTCATGTATTTGTCTTCTAGTCTTACACTTCTTATCGGGATAGTTATCGAGAAAGGAGATTTTAAGGATCCTGCTTACGAAGCTAAAATTGCAGCTTCGGTGCGTAACATTTCCATTTAACCCATGTTTTTGTACAATTTTCTACCATTGTTTCCCTTGTAGGAAGGACCATTTTAACAGAATTCAGAGTGATTATCGACCGTTTTTTGCTAGAAATGATTTTGTTTAATTATTCCGACTCAAAGAGAGTTGTATAAATTAGCAGACCAGCGTCCCAACAAATCTGAAAAAGCTGTTGAAAATATTAAAAAGGATTTTCGAAAGTTTACTGAATTTATTCTCAGGAAATCAAAGTTTAAATACACAACTTTTTAAAAATTGGAGAACCAAAGAACTATTCGGCCGATTTTGTTCCAGTTTTATATTTTTCATTAAAAATAGCACTTTTAAAAATGATGCAAAAGTTTGCATACCTCACAATTTAAAAAAAAATCGACTATAAAATTATTAAGAATTGTTATTTAAATGGAATCATCTTTGGAAAAATTAATTTTACGACAGTAGTAAAAATATTTGTGTTTTTTTTCTTACAAAACTTCTCAAGATATAGTGAAATACGCGAAAATTGAAATTAACTTTTAAAAGTATAAGTACCACTCTTTCGACATACCTGCCTAAACTATTGGGACTATATCTTCCCGAGGATCAAGAATTGAAATTCGTCGAGAAACGAAACACTTTTTTTTACGGAATGTACGTTTTTGAACATGATTTCGTAATATAAAATATCGACTTTTAATTATCATATTCAAGGTTAAGGTATCGAACCACTGAGATTGAGTTTTAGTGCATGAAAATCCGATCATTGGATCAAAAGTTATTAATGATTTCCCCCCTTTTTTGTGCATTTTACTGTCACTTGTTTATTTTGGAGTTTTACATATGTGCATTGGTTTTCGTATATCATATATATTTTGAGTTTATATTGCTTAGCATTAATGGGTATACCATTAATGGCATCAATTTGGCAGTTTATTTACACTCCTCTTTGATCCCGCAGTGGACTGATCGTTAAGACACGGTTCCCAGCAGATCACCGAAGTCAAGCATCATTGGCTACGGTCAGTGTGCGGGTGGGTGACCACTTGGATCAGCCTGCGTAGGGACCGAGGGTGTGCGGTATTGTTCTCGTTAAACTGTGCTACCGTAAAGTGCTCGACTTCGCGCGCAGGTCGTCGGGCTACCGAAGCGGGGCTGCCATCCCTTCCGCAGAGGATCAAAATTGTGATGGCATGTCTTCGGATCATCCTCCGGGATGTTTCCCAGACCGTCGCCAATAGCCCATTGTGCAGCTCTAGTGCGACGTAGATTAACAACAACAACAACAACACTTCTCTTTGAAAGTCGAAACGGAACAATATCTAAATTTTTCTAAATCAGTCTTTTGAACTTAGACAAATGCTTTGGCCATAATTAAATTCGAAATTATTATTTTCTAAAAAATAAATTTAATAAGGGATGATTTCTCATAATTTTCATTATATTTTTTTCAGGTCTTAGGTCTAATCAACAGTGTACTCTATGGTATCAGCACCTATTTTTCTTTCATAGCCCAGATACAGATGGGATAAAAAGAACTATCTGTAAACTGAAGCATGGATTACATTTTACTATTCAAACTAAGTTCATAAATTGAACTTTTGTATATTATAAGCTTGCACACAGTGAAGATATCACCAAGTCTTAAAATAATCTGGAAAACTTAAATGGTCTGAATGCTATGTTGGTAAAACAATAATTTGAAATTTCAAAAACTCTTAATTTTTCAAATGTAAGGATATGTTATGTCATATTTTATGTAAAGGATATTAATTTCATTTTTAAATGATGCCAAGTTGAACTTCGTCTAAAAAGTTAGGCAAACACTCAAAATTTCCATTTTGATGAAGATATTTGCTAAAAACATATTAGTCCATTCTGAAGGCTAATCAAGTATTAACTATTATTAATACAAACAATAAAAATATTATAATTATAGTTATGCAATTCAACTCAGATAATAAAAACAGTTGCATAATTTTAAAACAGCTTTTCTTAACACTTTGTAAGAATCAGAAGAAAGGTTTTTAAATTAAGGGAAACATTAATAAACTGCAGCAGTTCGCAAATATTTTTTGGAATGTAGTTGTAAAAATTTGAACTTAATTTCATTAAACTAGTCTCTTACTAAAAATGTGTTCATAATAGTTTATTTGTAATTTCAATAAGTCTCTCTCTTTCTCAAAGCCTTTAACTAAATAATGTTAGACGTTCTTATAATACTGTGAAACCTCTAGGAAAGAACACCTCTATGTAGCGACCTCCTCTATTTACGACCACTTTTGGGAGGAATGGAATTTTTTCCGTAGACTTTGTTGTGAAGAAAACCTTCTACCAAACCTGCTACCAAAACCTCTGCAACAACAAACCTTTTTCTCTACCATGTCGATTTTCGCCACGTATTATGCAAAAGAGTGCTTTTTACATTGTTCTATTCAACGTTTTCCCAATTCATTCAACCACAATCTAGTTCGGCGTACCATCAGTCCATAACGTATGAAAGCGCCAATTACTTTGCATGTTTGATGAAATACTTGCGAGTTCGCATGCGCGTCTACTGAGCTGGGTGCGGTGAGATTATTGCACTCTCATGTGCTACTTTGCTGTATTTTGCCAGATATTCTTAATTTCAGGCTTCATCTTCCAGCCTCTGATATCAAACCAAAAAATCTCTTGATCATTTTATAATGGCTAATATAAGCAAGAAAAGAGTTCTTTGTCAGTAACTAGCTATTTTATCAAGATCATGTAAAAGAAAATAATTTTGCATTTTGTTAATGTATATAGTACTTAAAAGGCGCTTATTTTTTGTTGAAAGCTTTGGCTACGCACTGGTAGTAAGAATTTCGAGATAGTTAGTATAAGTCAGAGCTCCGCTACTTTCTTTTCCAAAAAATATTGGTTTAAATTGATGATATTTTGTTTTACATAAGAATGAAGACATTACATAAGTGTAATCTGTGTCAAGAAATGTTAAAGAAATCCCATCTGGGTGTTGTGATGAAATGCTATAAACGACTAAATCTAGTCACTTTTTTGTCTTATAAGATGGTACTTAGTTTATAATAATTATGTTGTTAATTATCCTATTTGGGAAAAAATAAATGTGTGCAATAAAAGTTTGTTAAATGTTAACTCAATGTTGATAAAATTTATTTTGTTAACTTTGTTGAAATGTGTGCAATAAGTTTAATAAACTATTAAAAAGATTAAAGGAATTTGTTGTTTTATTTGATATATTTTAAAAAATATTCTACTTACCTAAAAAAATTCTGTTAAAAATCTGTTCTTTTAAAATAATAAAAAATATGTTGATAATTGTTTGTTGTCTGTAAAAATTATATTCATATTAACTATTTAACGCAAATGGTTTACATTAGAACACCGGTATCTGTATTATGGGACACCGGTATCTGTTATATATATATATTTTTTTTTTCAACGTTCTAATTACAAAAGCAAAATCATATTTTAGTATTTTTTAATTATAAAAACAGTTACTTAAAAAATCTGTAAGAATATCAGAGTTGTATTTGTAATAAAATAACAAAATCCAAAAAAAGTAGTTTCAAAACTTTTTTACATTCATATTAAGAAAATTTATCAATAACTAGTTTTGTAAAATAAATAAATTTCAATGACGAATTCCTTTTGAATCTAAATAACTGCAAATAAGTGCAAATTAGAAAAATTACCGTATAGAAATGAGTGATTTGAAGGTGTTACCTTTAATACAGAAAACACACCGGTGTTTTTGCTTTATTTCATAACCATAAGTTATTAAGATGCTAATTATAAATTTTTTTACTTATTTTAACTTAAATTAGTGCAAGTTAACGAAAAAAGTATGAAAAATATGTTTCAGGAAATCCTCCATCAAATGGTTAATAATGTTCTACTACAGTATCCGAATTTGATAAGGAGGTCACTCGGATAAGAGGAAAATGATCGTTAAACCGGGTCGCTCGTTAAATCCGAATTTCAAGTCAGTTTAAAAAATTTTACCATAAAAAAAACAATTGACATGAATTGTTTCCTTTTATGTTTGTTTTAATCCTTTATGTGGATTAAAAATATATTTATTAGCATACTGGAATTGCATGGTCGAAAAATGTATAATAATTGAGCAATCAGTGATAAAAGCAAAATTTTTATCATTGTTAATTCATGAGCATGATTTTAAATATTAAAGCTCGCATTGATTTTTACATAATTATCCATACAAAATACAAGTTTTATTTATATCCGTTTAGGGGCAACTGAAATCGTTATTGACATTAGTAAGGCAGATTTTATATGTTATTTTTACATTAAATTCAATAAAATTGAAATTAAATTAATAGTACTGTTAGTTTAGAAATTATGAGGGTTTCATGTATGAAAATTATAATATTTGACTAAAATATTATTAGTTGTCTATCAAACTCAACATTGATTTTAATTAGAGTAGCGTAAAAAAGAAAAAACAATGCCTGACTTGCTTATAGCAAGTGTTAAATGGGATAGGAATGTTATACACATTAATAAGTATAATAATATATTTATAATAAAATTATAAGCATTAAATAGGGATGTAAGACATATAAGTATAAATAGAAAAATTACATTTTTTGATCATAATATTTATTTATTTTTCCTTTTGATCATGTTTGAGGTGTGTAGGGTTCTTTTCGAATTATGAATAGGAAGAAATGATGGCGATTATCAGATAAAATAAAAATTATTTATTAAGAATGAATGAAGATAAAATAGGTACATCAAAACTATATCATCGTAATATAATCAGAGCGNAGCTGTTGATTCGATCGTTTTTGTTATGTCGTCCAATTTTATTCAAAGTTTAAAAAATATACCAACAAATTTATTTCTACTTGCCTATATAGCCAAGTGAGTGCAGTATTTTGCCTATATAGCAAAATTAAGTGTGGAAATCTGCAAAACGACCAATAGACTGTAATTTCTCTAAGTTGCAGTAAAACCGATAATGCAAATTTGCTTATGTGCTTTTAATATCAAAGAAAAATTGCAGATGGATATTTAGAATAATAGTATTTATTTCTAAGATTTAAGTACCTATCAGCAAAAGTATTAGCAATTAATGAATCTTATTTTCTTCTCATGGACGTACCTAAACTAGACGTATTATTAGTGCGTCTTATTAGACGTACAAAAATATAGTATCTGGACCTTAATATTATCTGTAGCAATTTTTTTACACCAATTTTGTTTACATTAAAGCAGACTGCCATGTTGTTCATCAAAAATTTTTTTAAATTTCCTGTAATAATGTATTGTTCCGAAAATCAAAACTATTGCGTAGTAATAGTGATTAAGGTATTAATTTTAAACAATCATTTAGTAATTTAAAGACTGTCAAATAAATTAACCAAATACCATGTAAGTATTTGGTAATGAATGTTAAAAAGTTATTAATTTTAATGCTATTGAATCCTGCAAATTAAAAAAAGAAACATCTGAAGATATCGAGTGCGCTGTTAACTAATGTCCTCAGTGCGAAGGGAAATATTTTCTCAAACAAGTCCTTTGCTTAGCAACCCTTGAGAATCAAACTCTTTTCAGTTGCTAGGCAACGGAGAAGTCTACAAAATTTCCCCTAAAAACCACAGTGTTACATTCACAAAAGCGTTTACTAATACTGAATATCCAAACTACAATGTAGATTGTAGGTGATTCTAAAAAGTTTAGTGAAATATCTCAGGAGAAATGCAAATTAAAAATGTAGCTGTGCGCATGCGTTGAAAGAGATCCATGGAAAGACGGCTTGTTGCTGAAAACCCAAGTAACTGGTGCAGATTTAGTCTGTTACGAGCTGTCGGGTATATGGGAAAACCCTGTTCCGAATTCATATGTTAAAGTGGATAAACATGAAGTTTTGCTTCAAACTTGAACCAATGATAAACATGATTGATTCTTAAATGTGACGATAAACAATATTAAGTTGCTACGACCGACGCTGATTCGAGATAGCCGATGGATATCGCATCGGTGAGAATTATCATGGATATCTTCGTTGTATATAAACATAGCCTGTTCCTATTTTATTTTGCACTCGTTGAAGACGCATGACATCCGCATTAGAAGAAACTTATAGTACTCTCAGCTTTATCAATGATGTCAAGAGTACATTTATGACCTACTAATGTCCTGAGGGAGAATAAAGGTATTTTGTTTCCAAACTTCTTTTAAACGCACCTCATATTTCATTTATAATTCAAAGTATTTAGAATGATATAAACAATAACAAGTGTGAAGCTCGAAATAATCAGTACGGCATGTTAAGAAAAGTTTTCGAGCTATACTATGAAAAAAACATGTAGTCAAAACTTCTAGATTATTGTGAAATTCAATGTGTTTCTGGTTATATGGAAACTCAAAAAAGCTCGAGAATTTTTACCGAGGGTCATTGGTTATGATTTCGAGAAAATCAACTATAAAATATGATTTTAGGATATGTGATCAAATTTGGGAAAATAAGGTAAAATATGGTAATATTATTACGATAATTACGAGCATGGCATAAAACATTTATACGGTTAAATATACTTTTCAGTTCTGTATTTTTTACTAAATTTATGATAATAAGAACTATAATTTTAAAACCAGAATTTCCAGTAAACCGTCACCATATGAAAGGAAAAATTCACAAATGAATGGTATACCATATAATATTTCTTTTATAATCCAAAATATTTAGAATAATATGAACAATAATATGTGTGATGCTCGAAGTAACGAGTACCGCATGTTACGATAAGTTTGCCAGCTATATTGTGAAAAAAACATATAGTTAAAACTACCAGAATATAGTAAAATTTGATGTGTTTTTGGCTCTATGGAAACCCCAGAAAGCTTGAGAATTTTAACAGAAGGTCTTTGCTTATGATTTTGCGAAAATTAACCATAAAATATGGTTTTGTAATTTGGGAAAGAGGTAAGATCTGGTAATTTTTTCATAATATCTTAGAACACTGCATAAAAACCATTTATTCGACAAAATAATACTTTTCAGTTTTGAATATTTTTACTAAAGTTGTGATAACAAGAACTGCAGTTTTGATAACCAGAATTTCCGGTAAATCTTTACAGTATGAACGGTAAAATTCACCTTATTTTCTTCTTCCAATCTTNTAAAATATGGTTTTATAATTTGTGATAAAATTTGGGGAAGAGGTAAGATCTGGTAATTTTATCATAATATCTTGGAACACTGCATAAAAACCATTTATTCGACAAAATAATACTTTTCAGTTTTGAATATCTTTACTAAAGTTGTGATAATAAGAACTGTAATTTTGATAACCAGAATTTCCGGTAAACCGTTACCGTATGAACGGTAAAATTACCTAACGAAGGATTTTAATACCGTATATTTTGGTTTCCTTAATCAAAATTATGATTTTTTTACCACAAATCTCACGACCATACAGTACGATAATTTTACCAGAATTTTGTTTCTTTGTGTACAGTCGAAATACTTACATTAAAGAAATTTTTTTTTATAACGAATTAAAAATTATTGCGGCGCAATCTTTTTTTTTGTGGTAAAATTTTTTCCCCCTCTTGTTCAAACGAGCAATATTATAACAGAAAGGGAAAAATAGTAAACTTTTCCTAATTGTTTTCTGGTGTCAATGCAAAATAATACAAAGCTAATATCATTCTACCTTATTTTCTTCTTCCAATACTAACTCTTAATTTTTATAAGGCAAATATATTAGAGGGACTATTGGTTAATTTATTTGCCTCTAGGCAAAAGAAATATTCTTCTGCTATTTTTAGGACTCATTTTTATTGAAAAATAAAAAAAGTACATCTCTTGTTATTCACTAAACTACCATGCTTTTTTATTTATCTTCTTGACAGTGTATTATTTAAATCAACTTTCTGCATTATAAATGACGTCAAAAGCTATTGCACTTTATTTCTTTTCTTGCATCTTGCAAAAAGTTTCTAGTCCCGTCTACAACTGTAGACAAAGCAGTTTACAGCAGATGTGTATTTTAAAACAAAATATTTGTTCAAAATAAATAGAGAAGAAATAAATTAGACTATTTTATCATTTATTCTTTTCTTAATTGCAATTTTTACATTAAATATGTATTTTTGTTTATAAAGATAAGTTCAATATAATGACAATTCCGTAAACTATTGTGAATTGCAGTTATAACGGACTTTTTCTGTGTTATTAATTATTACGCTATTAATAAACTCTTAAAAAAAGAGGCTTTTTTTAGACTATCTTGTCATTTTTAACAGTCACCAATCAAAATTTTAACAGTCTTAGACAAGAGAAACAATATTCCCCCTTCTCTACGACTGTTAATATACTATTTTGTTTATGCAGTTTTTTACAAATAAAAAAAAATAAATATTTAAAAATATTTTTCTTTTAAGTCTTATATTTGATATACACTAAATTTGCGATCAACTCATTTTACAATTCCATTTCTTAAAACTAAAGTAATTACTACAGAATGATGTAATGTTCTTTGGTAGTTTTATTTAAAGTCTATTTCGAGAATTATTTCGTAATCATGATTAATTTACTATCTAAAGGATTACGAAACGAATCTAATGCAGAAACACAGCTGAAGATTCTCGTTTTAGGTATTATTTTCAACCGGGAAGTAATTTACTACGGATATGGAAGTTACGTCATGAGAGGTGAAAATAGGTAATTCTAATAATAATATTACTTAATTTTTTTATGGCATACATAGAATTTGTTTACTTTATTATGAAATGCGATTCATAACTCCCTAAATAGTTTCAGGTAGCTGTAATGATTAAAATAAACTATGCCGAATGCAACAGAAAAGAAACTTGTACTCAAAGAGTAAAGTTTTACAGATATTTCCTGCTTTAACACTTTATAGTTTCTACTTAAATATTTGCTAATACTTCACCAGGGTTCTCACGACTTGGAAAAAATTAATGAGTGGTAACTAATACTTTTCAAGACTATTGAAAAATGTCTAAATGTATCTTTCATTTGTGAATCGTGAAATTTTTCTTCGGTTATTTCTTGCACCCACGTATATCTGTAGTAAATTAAATATTTATTGATTGCTTAAAACATCTAGATATATGTCACTTTTGCTAACACTTTGAAAATTTTTCCAGACAGTGGGAGCCCTGTTCACGATGAACCTTTGTCAGCAATTGCAAATGCATTTGACTCAATATAAATATCCGTGTTTCTTTCGAATCCTGCGAGTCGATAACATTCTTTTACATACACTTCGAAAAATAAATATGTTCAAAACTACAGGAATATGAACTAAGGCAAAAAACGTTAAAGAGCACAAAAATATTTGTAAAATACAGACAGCTGTTTCAGATGCTCAAAGGGCATTATATTTACCTTGTTTTCTGTCATTTCTTTCTGTTGCACTGATGAAGGTTGCCCCTAGTTTGTATTTTAGCACAAAAATCGCCCACTTGTGTATTTACAGGAATATGTTTAAATTTTCGGCTCTATGGGAACAACAAATATTTTTACCGATTTTTTACCTGATTTTTCACCGAAGCATTTTGCCAATGATTTTGGTTAAATTAACCATAAAATATAGTGATAAAATTTAGAAAAAGNTTTTTGTTTTCATCCTAGGTCTGGATAGCTTCTATGGAGAGGAGGTATGTCTTTTGTAAAATATATTTGTTATCTTCTGGAACTTTTTAAAAAATTAATATTCCTTCTGGGTTGTAAAATTTGCAACACCACTTCAAAAATGTACCACTATATTTTTCATCCGGCCATTAATTTTTAGTTTTTTCCTTTTTTAAATTGTTATCACTTGCTTGTTAGCAGCTTTTCATTCTTTTTTATTCTATACCCAACCGTAACAGGGCAACAATGTATCACGTTTTTATTACCAGAATTATGGTTTTTACACCAGAAATGCAATAACTAAAGTGCTGTAGTTGTCGGGGAACACCATTCCCCAAAATACTTGGTTTGCTGTTGTGAAAAAAAAATATTCGAAAAAAATTTCAAACTCATTTTCCCCCCTTTTCATCCATTCTTTCTTTCTCTCTTTATTATTTCTTTTACGAAGTAAAACGAAACTTTCTGCTCATTTCTGGTAAAAAAAATTTCACTCTCGCAAAAGTGCCGATTGTATTAATTATATTCGAAAGCACAAGTGAGCTTTCAAATCTGATAGGGCAATTTTTGGGCTCGTCTGTAAACATTCTAATCCATGATCCGTCTCCCATTGAGGATATTTTACGTCAGCACTATGGTCGGTGTAAACCGGATGCTGAATTCGTATCGCCGGGATTCGAACCCGGCTCACCTCATTGGCAGGTGAACGCTTTATCCTCTGAACCATCACGGCTCTGGCATCAATATTAGCATCAATATATGTTAGCATCAGAGCCCCTGTTCCATGCCACTAACGAACCTTCATGACTGTATAGCAATCCTCTTTGTTTCTCGCCGCAATAAAATCCCCCCCTCAAAATCTGATTATGTTCAGTTAAAAAATATTGCTTGCTTCGCTTACATCACCCTCCCTAAAGATTTACAGTTCTCATTTATTTTATTAATCTAAGTCACTTTTTTCTAAATATTACTCTTGTGAAAATTTCTCTATAATAAAAAATCGTGAGGGCTGTCGCTGTTCAATTTAGCGATTCGTGTACAACGTCAACTTAACGTACATTTTGTTCTTCTGCGTAAAAGCTAAAAAATTTAGAAACATAAAATTACCTATTAAAATATATACATGGAGTAAAAAACTTTACCATTTGATAATTAGATCGAGAAATAGTAACTATTAAACTTGTAGAAAAAACATCATACGGGCCACTCTACCGCCAGCAGGAATGAAACTTTATTATTGAATTTTGGTATGGTGAAAGGGTCAGATTTGTTTATGAACTTAACACAGAGTTATTTTCGAAATTCTAATTTCTTCGAAAGTTGCTGCAATTTTAAGTGCCTTTTTTCGAATTTCTTATCTTTTTGTTTGCTTTATGTTGCTGCACAAAATTTATAAGACTTTAAAACTAGAAATTACGAAATAAAACGAAATAAAAAAAAAATTAAGATTCAACTACTAGTTTGAAAATTATCAACTGTTTCACTTGTAAGAAAAAATAGTGTCTGGTTGATCTGTAGCCTGTTGAAATGCAACTACGGAGCTAAAATTTGAT